TCAACCTGTCTGTTCTGGACCTGGGCTGCATCTCCACCACTGTCCCCAAAGCCATGGCCAATTCCCTCTGGGACACCAAGGACATCTCCTATACGGGATGTGCTGCCCAGGTCTTTCTGTTTGGCCTTTTGATGTCAGCAGAGTATTGTCTTCTCACCATCATGGCCTACGACCGCTACGTTGCCATCTGCAAACCCCTGCACTACGGGACCCTCCTGGGCAGCAGAGCTTGTGTCCACATGGCAGCAGCTGCCTGGGGCTATGGGTTTCTCAGCACTGTCCTGCACACGGCCAGTACATTTTCACTGCCCCTCTGCCAGGGCAACGTCCTGGACCAGTTCTTCTGTGAAATCCCCCAGATCCTCAAGCTCTCCTGCTCACACTCCTACCTCAGGGAAGTCGGGCTTCTTGTGATTACTGCCTTTTTTGTTTTCGGGTGCTTTGTTTTCATTGTGGTGTCCTATGTGCAGATCTTCAGGGCCGTGCTGAGGATCCCCTCGGAGCAGGGACGGCACAAAGCCTTCTCCACGTGCCTCCCTCACCTGGCCGTGGTCTCCCTGTTTGTCACCACTGGAATGGACCAGTTCTTCTGTGAAATCCCCCAGATCCTCAAGCTCTCCTGCTCACACTCCTACCTCAGGGAAGTCGGGCTTCTTGTGATTACTGCCTTTTTTGTTTTCGGGTGCTTTGTTTTCATTGTGGTGTCCTATGTGCAGATCTTCAGGGCCGTGTTGAGGATCCCCTCTGAGCAGGGACGGCACAAAGCCTTCTCCACGTGCCTCCCTCACCTGGCCGTGGTCTCCCTGTTTGTCAGCACTGCAGTGTTTGCCTACTTGAAGCCCCCCTCCATCTCCTCCCCTCTTCTAGACATGGTGGTGACTGTTCTGTACTCAGTGGTGCCTCCAGCACTGAACCCCTTCATCTACAGCATGAGGAACCACGAGCTCAAGGACGCCGTTAGGAATCTGATTTCATGGATATTTGTAACGAGGGAGAAATTTGCCACCTCTCTCCGCCAATGACTCCCACATTGTCTGATTCCATATGGGGATTTTTTGTGTTTGGGTTTGGTTTTCTGTTTTTAATCATTATACTTACTGCAGTTGTGATTGTCATTACTGGTTTTTATGAGCCACTCGCATCCCTGCACCTGAGACTTGTACCTACTCTGCATCCCCTGGTTGCCTTGTAAAACTGTATTTAACAGTGGCTCAGAGCTGGCCTCTTCCATAGCTTCTCTGTCAAAAAATGAGGTCTCCCTGGTGCAGAGCTTTCATGCTGGGATCTTTCTCCAACCAGGCCTGAGGAACTGCACCTCTGATCTTCCTCTTCCTCTGTGGCAATGATTGATCAGGACACAATTGTATCCTAAAAGCAACAGCAGCCTTTATTCACATACCCAAAGCTATAAATACGGAGCGAGTTTCTGAGCTGTTTTGCCAAACAGGGTGAGCACTCCCATTCTCACAGAATGCAACTGTTTTCAGCCACATCTCTCTACACACACTTCTCCAGGCAGCTTTCCAGCCTGACCTTCCCAGACACACACAATGTTGCTTTGGTTTTTATTTTTTTTCTCCTGTCTGGCCAGTTCAAAACAATTTTATTGTTAAAGTAATATGGTCTTAGTTCTGATTAAATTTTGTTTGATCTGCCATATGTTCAGAAGGGTTCTAAAATCAGTTTTGATCCATCTTCCAGATGTTCTGCACGGTCCGAACACAAAACCACATTGGGGATAAAATTCATTCTGCCAAGACCATCCTTCAGCCTTCCTTGCCCTCCTCATCCTCACATACCATTCGATCCCCCTCAAAACTCCCCTCTTTTCAGGGAAATCGTTGCTCTGGAGTTGGACCATTCGGGTACAACTTCACCCCTGTGTCTGCCCCACGTGAGAAGGTGGGGTTGAGCCATCTGGGGCTTTTTTAGAAGCAAAAGTAGAAAAGCGAAACCCTGGGGGCTATTTCCATCCCTTCTTTCCCAATGCCCAGGGATAAATCCCCTCCTTTTTAGTTCCAACCTCAATGATTCTATGATTCTCCGAGGGAAAAGGTGAGCTTCTGGGCTGCACAGGCCCTTCTCTGGCCCCAGTTTCACCGGCCACTTCAGGGCTCCCTTGGCACCTCGGGCCGCTCTGGCCGGGCTCCTCAGGCAGTGCTGAGACCCAGGCTCGCTCACGGGGGGCGGCCATCGCTTGCAGGGCCTGAGCCCACCTCCTGGAGGGTGCAGAGGGTGGGGAGGAGAGCCACCAAGCTGGGGAGGGGCCTGGAGAACAAGTCCTATGAGGAGAGGCTGAGGGAACTGGGCATGGTTAGTTTGGAGAAGAGGAGGCTGAGGGGAGACCTCCTTGCCCTCTACAACTCCCTGAAAGGAGGGTGTAGAGAGGTGGGGGTTGGCCTCTTCTCCCAAAGGAATGCTGACAGGAGCAGAGGGAATGGTCTGAAGTTGGGGCAGGGGAGGTTTGGATTAGATCTGAGGAAGAACTACTTTCCTGAGAGGGTGGTCAGGCCCTGGAACAGCCTGCCCAGGGAGGTGGTGGAGTCACCATCCCTGGAGGGATTTCAGAAACGTGTAGACATGGCTCTTCAGGGCATGCTCTAGTGCCCAAGGTTATTGGTTTATGGTGAGGTGTTGAGTGTGGGGTTTAGTTGGTGGGTGTTTGGTGTGGTGTGTTTTGTATTTGTTTGG